TCTGAAGTCCAGCTCATGCTTTTGTCAGGAAAAACATTGTTCTAAGAAGCTTTAAAAACAGAACAGGTTTCAAAAGGACCAGATGAAGTTATTGTTCTGAACTGGTTTTGGTGCTAATAGAGACTGACGGAATTCATCCTGCTATCTGTAATAAGAAGCAAAACCCTTAAAGTTAGAAATGTTTTAACTGGACTTAAAACCCAAACAAACAAAAACCCCCTCAAAAAAAATCCCTCAAACAAAAAAAAAAAAAAAAAAGAAAAAGACAAACAAAACCGAAGCAAAACTAAAAAATCAATCAATCAAACAAGTAAAAAGCCCCAAACCAACCAACCAAAAAAAAAAAAAAAAGAAAAAAAAAAAAAAACCAGAGGGAAAAAACCTGTATTTGTAACAGAACAAGCAGAAAGTTTGTAAACAGGGTTTCTTTCTTTAGGAGTTGAAAAAAAAAGTTAGTTTTCTGTACCAGTATTACTTCAAGGTAGTTCCTTGGAAAGGCAGGGTGGTCCAGAGGCTCGTGTGGTGTATGAGATCAGTGTCTTTAGGACTGTGGGCAAGCACATTTGGCTCTCTAAAGTGTTTTCCTTTATTTCTCTGTACATTTTTACATTCTTACTCTGGGATTTCACCACTGAGTACAGATTGTAGTTTTTGCAGTGATCTGTCTCTTAGACACCCTGTTGGAGATAAGGTATTGTCCCACTGGCAAGTTGACAAGTAGAATAAATGTAAAGGAGAAATTAAACTATATCTCAAAGTAAATACGCAAGTCACAGGTAGCTGCTTGGAAGGAAATTGTGTATAATATAAGATCTGGAGAAAAATATTAATGCTGATTGCATTTTCTGTGCACTACATAAACAAAACATAAAAAACCCTATATATATGGCTTTTTTTGTTTTTAAAAAAATTTTAATTACTCTTAAAAAAACAAACAAATGGAAAAATGCCCTAATAGTGTGAGCATAATTTTATTAAAAGGTTCATGCAGCTAAGCAGATTTAGCTCTGCTTTTCTATAAATACAGGGAAATGTTTAACCCCTATTGTATGGCCACAAAGGCTGTGCTGATCACACAGAAGCTTGGGAGGGCCGAGGACAAAGCGACGGGCGACTGGAAACGGCCCCTCTTGTGCGTGCCCCTGCACACAGAGCAGCAGCAGCAGGGCTTGGCACCAGAGTTTTGTCAAGCTTGCAACATGAAGGGGAGCGAGGTACAAATTCTTACCACTTGCTAAAAGGAAGAAAGGAAAAAATAACCAGCCAAAAAAGGAAGAGGACCATGACAGCTGTATAGCTACGTGCACAAGGTAATGGCTGAGCTCCCTTCTCTAGCCTGGTACTTCCCACTCACTCAAATAGTTGAGATTTATGTACCTTAGTGTTAGTTGGTTTGATTTATTGGAATGAAGTATCATGAAAAAATTCAGGTTATAACTTTGAACAGGAGAATAAACCTATGCTATGTAATTTACTGAAACATTTAACTTTGGTTAATAGTCTAGGAATTGACAGAATGAGGTTAGCATTTGTATCCATGAAGGAAGGGCGTGACTTTGCAAAATATTAAGTATCCGAAGAAATCTGTATTCTGTTTTGTTTAGTATAATATGAGTAAAATTTGGGCATTGCCCTTATGGATGCTAATATAATCCAGCTTGGACTACCCACTCTAGGAAGTGTCTTCATGAGGGTGTGTGTATCAGAAATGAAAAAAAAACCCTAAAAGCTACTTTTGTTGTATTTCCAGTGTATTTTTTTCCATTATTACTTTGGCAGAATCATCTGGGTTTGGGCACACCCAGAAATAAGATAGATATGACAGCAAGATGGATCACTGCCCCCCTCAACCAGCCAGGGTGGTTTCTCCTTTTCTGAGAGCTCCTCATTAATCCTTAGCTCTGAAAGAAGAAATTACACAAGGCTGAACAATGGAGCTCTGCAGTATTGGTTTGCAGAAAACTGTGCTTAAATACATTAAATATCACAAAGCAAATATTTTATATTAAAGAACTTTGCACAGTATTGTAAAGTAAACAGAAATTCAATTAAATATATGTGTATATAGATACATTATTTTATGAGAAAGCTGCACATTGTCTCACTCTTGCTTTTTAAGGCTGCATTAAAAATATTCAAGTGTCTTGACATTTTAAATAATATTTTTGAGTACATTTTATGTAAAACCATTTAGCCAATCTGATTATGAAACAAAAAATGGATTTTTTGTATTTTGGATTTTTCACATTTGAATTTTTTGCATAGTTACCTATTGGTATCTGTGTATTATTTCTTTTTCTAAAATTAGCTTCCCTGAAGTCTACCAACATTTTTACAAGAAAAGCAACAATACTCTGTAAGTTGTAGTTATTTCATGAATATCTGAACAAATAAGTATGCAGTAAGCATAATGTTAGGTCAGAAAATTTAAAAGTGTGCTTTACATTTCCACAATATGCTAGTGACCAAGCAAATTATAAGACCACAAATATATCTTACAAAATTTAAAACCTATTTCATCTAATCTATGGACTTGTTTTAGAACCATCATTTTTACCCTCCTCCTTGATTTTTATTTCCTACTCATTTTTCCCCTTCTTTTAGTGAATCTTAGAAGTCTTGAAAAGGTTACCCATGGTGTCAACAGAGTTGTGGTTTTCTTCTGTATATGAGGTCTTATACAAGTCATCCCTGGGTTTCAGAACATGCCTAACTTTTAAACAATGCCCTTGAGGCTACAGATGTTCTTAAATGGCAAAAACAAGAAGAAGGGGACAAATATCTGTCATCAAGGTGGGCTGATTGGCAAGGGCTGGGCTACATCTGCATTTTAATGCTTTAGTAAATGAGTCTCTTGAAAGAGAAGGCTGGCCATAATCTGAATGTGGTTTAGGTGCTGTGGTGTTCCTGCAGCCTGATAAGTAGCTGGTGTCTTTTTAGTTCAGAGTACCTGGGATAGTGGGAGCTGTGTGCAGCCCACCAAAGTCATGATGGCACAGGCTAATACTGTAAATCCTGGGGTCTGCTCCAGTGGGTCCTATGGAGGCAGGCAGAGGCTGCAAATGAGGATGCAGTGCCTGGCAGGTGAGAACTGCAGGGCTGTCAAGAGAATCAAAACTTAAGGCAGTCTTACCCATGCTGTTGTTTGGAAGGATTTTCCAGGCTGGAACACTCTGTAAAGCACACTCAGGTTTTGTCTTGGAGACAGCTGGGGGATGGAGCCAGCCAGGAAGCAGCATGAGTGGCAGGGTGGATGTATCTGGTACCTCGGAGTAGTGGGAACTGTGTGATCACTGTCAGGCTGTGCTGTGGTCAGTTAGGAGCTGCACACAAGTTCTGTGTTGGCTTTGGCTCATCCAGGTCCTGCTGGTTTGCAGGCAGCATTTCCAGCCGAGTATAGAGGCAGGGGGTTCAAAGTGGTTTGAGTGCCTGAATAAAGATTAAGGCAATTGAAGTGAATCTCCTAAGAGAATTTCACCCCAGGGAAATAAATTATGTATGTATGCCAAAACTCCTGATGTTACAAAGATAATGTATTGTTTCCAATGTTTTATTATGTAAGAGCAGCAAGTTTTTTTGGAAGAGCCTGATAAAAAGCAATTTATGAGAAGTGTTGCTTGTTACTGAAAGAAATAGCTACAGGAGAGCTGTAGTCCACAGTTAAGATTTGGCCAACTTGCAGGCCAATCTAACAATAAAAAGGCTTTAAAAAGTATGTGGAAAGAAATTGTATTACTAAATTATCAACTTGATGAGGAATTAAACTGATCTTCCTGTATCAGCACTGTAAGCTGAGATGTTGCAGTCTTTCCTGGTTTTCTTCACAAAACAGTGCCAATCTGCAGTTAAGACTAAACAAGGCACTTTAATTACTTTCCTAAAAATAAAATGTATATACTTCTATGTACAGGACACAAAAGAACAGGTGCTGCAGTGATGCTGATTTGTTGCTGTTGGCTGCAGTGCATCATCAGTTCACTAAAATAAGGACAGCATATTGTGGCAAGCATAGCTGAGTTTGCAGATTAGCAACATATACAGCTAAAAGATGATAAGGGGAGTCCTCAGAAAGTTTTTGAAGCTCACTTTGAAAATTCCTGGTCCTACTTGAACCTTGCTTACTTGAAAGTTCAACTCCTCATGTGCACTACCGTGGAAAGATAGGCAACTTGTCCTCAAAAAAACATTAAAAGTAAGTTTAAAATAGGTTAAAGTAAAAAAAAAAAAAGTAAGAGATTAGAGGAATTGGCTGCAGAATTCTTGTCAAAAAATGAAGAAGGTAGCAGCTGAATTCAGAACAAGCCTCTCCTGCTGTCTTCTCTTTCTTTGTTTTGTACTTTTAAACTGGGGGAGGAGGGGAGCAGGAGATGTGAGTCCCATCCATCCACTGGAATTTAGGATGTTCTCCTAGAAAGTAGGAGTTAAGGGAAATTTCTAATTTGTTTTAAGCCGCAGCCCTCACTTTCGGGGCAAGTGCTGTTTATGACCAAACATTTCCATTTTGCATCCACCTCTTCCAGTGGATGTGTTTGGAATTCTGGGCACCCATAGCACAAAGAGCACTGAAGTGTTTAGTCCTGAGGTACCCAGTGTACCTTTAGCTGGGTTCCTGAACACTGGAAAGAAGTGGTTAAGCTTCTTGGCTGTCTTGCTCAAGCTTTGTGAAGCACTGACTGGTTATCACTAATGGTGCAGTGAACCTGGATAAACCATGTTTGCTCTAGGTTGATCTAAGTGGCTGTTTTGGAGAGCTAAATGCAAAACACAACTTTGAAACCTAGGGGGCTGCTTTTCTTTCTAATGCTTCTTTTTTTTTTTCCTTTGGCCAAACATGTATTAATTAGTTATTATTAAAATACCATTTCATTTGACTTAACTGAATTTAGTATTGCAGCTTTATCAAGACATATATGAAGTATTTGTTGTAATTTAAGAGTTATTTACCTCTATAAATATTATTTACCTCTATAAATATTTCAGGTTGTATGTTATTTTTTCAGGCAAGGCAGTAACATAAACACCTGTCATACAAGAGTTAAGAACAGGAGGAAAAGCAAAGAGAGAGACCAACTTCCTTAGAAGTTATTTGTTCAAAGGTAAGATAATTTTTTCCTCTAAATTTTATTTTCCCTTGCTAAGTGGAGAGAAAACCCCTGAACTACTGGCATTGATTTTCTGTCTCTTAAGTATCCAGCGTAGTCATAGATCTGTTATGCATTTACCTGCATTTTCATATTTGTTTGAGTTAACAGTCTGTGATTGATGTCAGATTTTTTTTTTTTTAATTTCAGCTCAAGATTTTAACTGAAGGGCATAACAAAATGTGTTAACTAGAAAAGCAGCTAAAAATATTTCATAGTTTCACATAATTGCAGGTAGCCTTAATCATCTCTGAGGTTCTTTACTGGTATCAGGGCAAGTCAACTAGTGAAACAGTGAGTCTGGAAAAATGGACTTAGAAGGAATGTGAAATATTGTACCGAAAAATGGAAAGTTTTTTCTTCTAGCATAGACCACAAGTTTAGTGATTCTTATCCGTGAACATTCGGAAATCTTTGCTCAAATGGTTTAGGTTGTAACACCTTTTTCCCAATCCCCTTTGAACTCCTCCCTGCTCTTGTGTTTGCTTTGTGTAACTCTCTCAGTGTAAGAAGAGAGATAGCTTTGTTTGAAGTGAATAGTAGCTGCTGAAGAGTCATCTGTGGTTTAGTATCTGATTTTCTTTAAACTAAAAATCTGATTTGGGGATCCTGAGTGTGGTACAGTATATGGTTCAGTAGAACAGAACTCTTATATCTTTTACAGTATGTAGTTGTGGATGGTTGTAAAGCATTTTATCCCTCATTTATATGGTCAAGCAGACAGAGCCCCTGAAAGCATCAGTAATGTGTTTAAAACACAGAAGGGAGGAGATGGTCACTGAAGCATTTTGACTTCTGAATTACTTGCTGGCACTGTTACTGAAAATAACATTTAGAGCATCTCTCCATGCAATGAAGATACTTTGTTTGCTTGTTTGTTTTTTACCTCTTCTGAAATGGTTCTTGTGTTAGTCACGCAGGAGTTAAATGCTTTATTGGATAAAGAGAACTGTTACTGTAAGGTTTTCAAACTAAACTCCTCTGAAAAAAAAAAAAAAAAGACCATTGAAGACTCTGAAAGGCTTTTTGGATGGTAAACAAGTTAAGGAAGCTCTGAAGTTCTTTGGCTTTGCTACTGGCTGCTCTCACTCACCAGGATCCTGGCACCCTGTCACTGTGCCTTCGTTGCCTCCATTGCTCCAGTTCTCCTGTCAGGGAATGCCACCATACAATACATCCCCTGGGGCTAATTGGATGAGTGACAACCAGCCACCTCCAAAGTGACAAGTGTTTGAATGCCTAATTGGGTCAGTGCACAGGTGCCTGCTCTTCATGAATGAGATGTTCTAGCTTTCCTCTGTGACGTTCTCTTGGTTCCTCTCATTTTTCCTACAGTTGGGAAACAAAATTGTCAATACTTTGATGTGAGAGAAAAGGCTTTATCAGAGGAGAAGGATGATTTCCCATTGCCCTGCTTTGGTTAAACTAGCTTTACTGCTTGAGTACTGGCTGGAGGAGACACACAGAAATTCATTAAACTGACAGAAGTTTGCTTATACAAATGGACATTTCAGTAGACAATAGGGTGAATAATTTGACTGGTAAAGACAAATATATTGCCTTAATCTCTATTTTAGATGGTTCTCATACTGTTTAGACCTATGGACTTGGGCATCAGAAAAATCATGGGAGATAAAAAGAACTTATTTTGTTGTAGTTGCCCAATGAGGCTTTTCCTTAGTCAAATAAACAAATAAACAACTTCCTATAATGAAGTCAGACAGAGGTAACTGTTTCATCCTATTGAAGGCTTGGTGTGTGCGTAGAAAATAACTTATGTTTAAGCCCACAATCTATGTTACTTAGATGGATTTGCCTTCCTTTTGTCCCCTCCACAAAGAACCATAGGATACCTGATTAGAAAGGGTGTCTGGAGGTTTTCTTGTCCGACACCTGCCCTGATCAAGTAAAGCAACTTGCTGCTTGGACAGCTGTTGAACAACCATAGAGTAGAAAAGGGTTTTCTTTTGTTTAGGTGGAATTTCATCCATCTTAGTTTGTGTCTATTGCCTTTTACCCTGTTGCTGGGCACCACTGAGAAGTGTTGTTTACCCCTGTTCCCCTCAGGTATTTATACACATTGACAAGATCTCTTGCAGCCTTCTCCAGGCTGGAGTCTCAATGCTTTCAGGCTCACCATGTCAGATGCTCCAATCCCTTAATCATCTTGGCAGTCCTACACTGGCCTGCATTCTGGGATGTTTATGTTTGCTTGTGCTGGGCAGCCCATGAGAGGACACAGCCCTTCAGGCATGTCTCAGGAGTGCTGAGTGGAGCAAAATGATCTTGATCCTGACCTGCTGACAACATATTTTCCTAATGCAGTACAAGATGCTTTTGGCCTTCCCTGCTGCAAGGGTACCCTGCTGGCTTATGGTCTTGCTTGGACCCCATGAGGACCCCCAGGTGTTTTTCTGCAAAGCCTCTTTCCAGCTGACCAACCCTCATCCTGTTCTGCTGATTGGGGTTATTCCTCCCTAGGTGTAGGACTTTGTATTTCCCTTTGTTGGACTTCATAAAATTCTTGTTGGTTTATAGCTGAGCTTTTAAAGGCTCCTCACCACAACCAGCTGGTCTGTGAGCTGCCCTTCCCAGTCGGTGTCATCAGGAAACTTGCTGAGAGCACACTCAGTTTTCCATCATCCAGGTCATTAATGAACTAGTTCAATGGAACTGGCCCTAGTACTGATCCCTGGAGTACACCAGCAGACTTTTCTCCAGCTAGACTTCATGCTGATCACAACCCTTTGAGCCCAGCAGTTCAGTCAGATTTCAGTCTTTCTCACTGTCCATTTCTGTAGTCTGTACTTTATCAGTTTGTCTATGGGGAATTTATGGGAGACCATGTCAAAAGCCTTGCAAAAGTCAATATAAACAACATCTGCTGCTCTCCTGTCACTCAGAGCCTGCCATTAGCTGGGTTGTTCTGCCCAGAGTGTCTCAGTCCCAGCAGGTGCTGCTGGCAGGGTGGCTCCAGGAAATCAGTGTCTCCCCAGTTGAAGGTTTGTTTAAAACAATATTCTCACTTTTGCTTTGGCTGACTTGAATGTGTGTTTCTAAAATAATGCTTTTTCATTGGTGTATATTTAAAAGTGTGAAGAGTTATTTAAACATAGTAAAGTTCACACTCTAAGTGGTGTGAAGTCAGCTAGGTAGCTACTGTCAACACTGTTTATACAGCAACTGTTTATGTTTCTCACTGTCCTTACTAATAAAAATACCTGCTGACAGAAGTGGAAAATAAAGAGAAGAAAAGGCTTGACATGGCGTCTCACAGCTGTTTTAAGATAAACAGACTAAAGAAAGGGTGCTTTTAATTGGCAGGAGACAGAGGAATTGTTTATAATAACAGAAGTGCAATTTTTCAAGTTTACATTTTTCCTCATAAAATCTTATTGTGAAAAATGCCCTCATTCTAACAAGGCTGTCATATCATCTAGTTAAATGTAAGAAACTTAATAGGAGAAATTGTCTGGAAAAGAGAAGCATATTTCAATAATCTGTAGTTTCCTAACATCAGCAAAGAAAGGATGAAGAGAGCTTTGTATTCAAGAATCAAGATGTAAGCATTTTACATTACAGAAATTATCCCTAGAAATCAGAGGTATTTTTAACAGATTGGAAAATGGAAGGGTCTAGAAATAAAATACTTCTATTTTAATTTGTGGAGTTTATCTATGTTAAAAAATACCTTGCAAGGCTTTCATTTATTGTTAAACTGATATGTTTCATAAGTGTGTTTACAGCTAAAAAGAGTGTAAACAGAAGTAGCTGTAACTCATGTAGGGATCACAGCCACTCTAGTTCTACTGAAGACTGCCCAAATGTAGTAAGTGTTTGGTGTCTAGGATACTTTTGGTGTTCATATAAAACATTAAGTTTTGCCCAGCTTTTTTTCTCACTTCATAATCTCTGATTTCCTCATATATAGGGTAAATTAAGTGGACCTCTTTAATCACTTGTTCCTTTTTTAGGTGTCTTGCTATGTGTTTTTTTCAGTATATTAAAAAAGGACAGTGTTTAAGTCGTGAGTTTCCTGAGTTTCTCAGCTGCTGATGCATGCTCATTTTACAAGAACTTTGGGTGATGACTTCTGGGGGATAAAAGTGATACTCCTACATCACTGCAAATTTGAGTCTGTTCCTGTGGTAGCTGTGCTTGCAACCATTGATGCCATAAATAAACATTTTATAGCTGTTTTTTTTTTTTTTTTTTTTTACATAATGTTAAAAGGGGAGGGATGGTAAAGAAAATAAAAGAAACGTTAAACCAAATTTTGCTTGAAACTTTCTGGGTCACTAACAGCAGCAATTAAAAGCATTTAAAATGTTATGAAGTCTGTTACACGCTTCTAAATATACAATCAAACATTTTCTGAGTGTGTTACTAGTTAGAAAGAGAACCAAAAGCAAGTTTCAAGTCTCCCAAGTTGACAGTACTCTAGTACTCTCTGTAGCTGATTCTACTTTAATTACAGACAACTCCTAGATTACATCTAGTTCTTGCTTAGTTAATGCTTCAATAGCTTGGGTGTATCTTTGTTTTATAAAGAAGTATGGAGGGAAAATAGATGAGAGGTATTGAAACAGTACAGTTTATAAATTTGACCCAATTTAGACACAGATACTGTATGACACAAAAGATGAGCTCACAAAATCATTTAGGAAAAGATGATTGGAAGGGATTACAGCAAAACGTAAAGGACAAAGGGTAACAGTTCAACATAGAGAGGGATAAATTGTTTTTTAAATCATTGTTGGATTTTAAATCACAATTTTTTATTATTGTCTATAATAAAGGAGGAAAAATACTCAGTTTCTTGTTTTCATCATAGTTATAAAAGAGTTAGAAAATATAGTCAGCATGCATAATGTTATGGGATAATCTGGATAGATTTATGCATCAGAAAAATATAATGGATGCATAGGCAGAAATGTTGTGCATTTTAATATCTG